TAGAAAGATGATGAACAGGTGGTTGCGGTCTTAAGGGGGTGGTGTTTGGTGGTTCTCGGTGGTGGTTTCGGATTATGGTATGGCGATATTAGGGTGGCGAGATGTGGTTTTTTGGTGGTTCTAGGTGTTTTTAAAGCTGAAGGTAGTGATGGTTCTTTGTTGTGATTTTCGGTGATGACAAGGGTTTCTGCAAGAAGGTAAGTGGCTCCGGTTTGTGGTGGTTTATGTTAATTCTTTAGTGGTGATTAAGATGGTAGGAGGTGGGTAAGAAAATGGATTTTTTCTAATCCTTTTTCGTCTTTTTGATTTCTCGGTCCTTACTTAGTCTTTACTATTTATGTATAATTGATAAATCAAATGAGTGATTGTTGAAGCATATGTTCAGAACCAGAAAAATCCAAGTTCAAAGTTCCAACATTCTATGTTTTGAGACTTAAGGTAAAATTTTGATTAGCTTTTTAATATTTTTGAATTCAAATCATTGAAGTTTGTTCTAATAGATAATTAGAGTTGATCTAGTTACTTATAGTATAAATTATCTGAGGATTCTATAAAGAAATCCTATAAGTTCCACAACTAGGCCATTAAAAGTCATCTTGCCTTCTTGTTTGCACTTGTACTACTTGAAAGCATTGTTTTATAGTTGAATGGTGAGAAGAACATCTATGCAACTTGCCTTATGTATGTGTATTTTGTCTTTTTCTTTTCTTGCAAAAGTTTGCTTATTTGCTCACATAAGGTATTGTTGATTAACACATATATTAGGTTCACCTTTAATGTCATATGTTTGATGGACCATGTTCATTATATAGCTTCATCTTTAAGATGCAACTTTTGAAATAGGTTTTAAATAGGATCTCATTATGATGTAATGATAATGATGTTTAATTCCAAATATCAAAAAATGATTTGAAACTTTTTGATAACTTTTGGTCTTTTTTATGAACAAAAAACTTTTTGATAATTTTGGATCTATTATGGACAGGAAAGAAGAGAGAATACAAGCAAAAATGGGAGATGATTTTAATAGAATATGATTATTTATCATGAATTCGGTTGTATGTAGCAATTGTAATGTACAAATATAGTTCATCAAGAAATACTGAAAAACATGCCAAAATGGTCGAAAGATAAGCACAAATGGAAGGACAAATCCTCTAAATCATGAGATGCAATAGGAATAACCCTCACGACAATCCAACTAATTCACCGATTGCTCCTTAGATTATTTTCGTAAATATTTGTACATTTTTATTATGTTTTGTAGTTCATAGTTCAGAAGATTGTTAAAACTTGTGTTGTAATGTATAATTTTTAGATTTAGATTTATTGTTTTTGTGTTGGTAATTTGTATTAAAATATTTCTGCATTTTGGGCATTAAAATTTCAATTTTTTTTTTATTTTTATTTTTGTAGCTGCATATTTCCTAGGAAATTCCTAGGAACATTCTGACACCAAAAGTGTCAACAATTTATGGTTCTAGGAAATTTATTGGAAACAAAAGTGTCACAAAAACTGTCAAAAGTGAATGGTCCTAGAAAATTTCTCGGAAATATATCCTAGGAAATTCCTCGAAAAAATATTTCCTAAGAAATTCCTCGGAAATATATTTCCTAGGAAATTCCTCGGAAAAACGTTTCCTAAGAAATTCCTCGGAAATATATTCCCTTGGAAACTTCTCGGGAAAAAATAGCCTCAAAAATGCCTCGAGACTTCCAACCAAAAATATCTCCTTGGAAATTCCTTGAAAATTTCCTCGGAAATACCTCACAAAAACTTTCCTAGGAGGGTTTTAGCCATGGTTGTCAAAATCGCGATCCTGATCGTAGGATCGTACGATCCTACGATCCTAGGTATGAAAAACGATCCGGATCGTAAAATGATCGTATTTGGGGTATGATTGCAAGTAGGATCGTAAGATCGTAGGTAGGATCGAGATCCGATCCGATCCTACCATCCTTTGATTTTTTTATTTTTTTGTTTTGCAAATGAATTTTTTTTACCACTTTATGTCTTTTACCCTTTACTAATCTACCATTTATCATTTTTTATTGTGACTTATAACTAGTATTTTGAAGTATTTATAACTTTTGAGCGAAAAATTAAATATTTGAAATATCTTTCATGATTAAATATTATAAATTAAAACTATATTCTATTTTGTGGGATCTTAGGATCTCGATCCCGATCTTACGATTCCGATCTTGCAAACCCAAAAACGATCCTAGGTAGGATCTCGATCTTGACAACTTTGGTTTTAGCTACGCACAACTTTTCCTCGGTATTTCCTCAGAAACACCGGTTTCCTAGGAATTTCCGAGGAAATTGTGCCTCGGAAAAGACGTGTTTTTTTAGTAGTGTAAATCGGTTATCAATCTGTCCTTATGGAATCTTTGCTATGGAATCTGTTATATAATATACACCAGAAAAATTGTTAGGGATTCATAACCACAAAATTTGCTTGGGAGTCGTCACCACAGAAGTTGCTAGGGATTCATCACCACCAAATTTTGTAGGGATGCACAACTACAGAATTTGCTAGAAATTCATCACCACAGAATTTGCTAGCAAATCACCACTACAAAAATTGCTAGAGATTCATCACCACAAAATTTGATAGAGAATCACCACCACAGAATTTGCTAGGGATTCATCACCACGAAATTTGCTAGTGATTCACCACCACAGAATTTAGGGAATCACCACCACGACATTTTCTAGGGATTCATCACCATGAAATTTGCTAGGGATTCATCTCTATAGATTTCATTCCATTGTCACATTTGCAACGAAATGATTGTTTCCCAAGTAAACCTTCGCTATGGGGTTTTTTGGGATGAAAATCAGTCGTCGCAAATTATGTCGTTATTCGTCTTTTGCAACGGATTTTCAGTTTTTCGCAACAGATTTCTTCCATAGCAAAATCATGATTTTCTTGTAGTGTTTATTTACAAATAGCCAACAGTATCTACTCTCTTAGTCTTAGCTTTGCTTTTTTCTTTAATTTGTTTGATATTTGGTTGTTGTTGGCCTCTTATTACTTAGATTTACAAAACATGTTTTCTAGAAAATATATGTTTGGCACTGAAAAATGAAGAAAAAAACAAAAAAATTGAATAATCTAATGAAACTCAAAGAGTATCTATGTATAAGGGTTTTAAAATAAAATTATGCTGATGTATAAAAAAATGATGAAACCGTTGAAAAAAAATGTTTTAAATTTTGTTATATTTCTTTGTTATGTATATTTATTAGCATGTTCTAGTTATTTTATTTTGTTGTGGTTTGTATGAATAGTTGTTAGGTTGTTTGGTTTACGGGGTATATCTCGAAGATTTTTTGTTTCCATACCAACAATTGTAATATTTTTTTATCGAATTAATAAAACTTTCCATAAATTGTCTTGGACCGGCCCAATTTTTTTTTTTACAAAAGGGCCCAATTTTTTTTGTTTGCCCCAACCTTAAATTGTCTTGGACCGGTTTTGTATATATAAATGAAAACTAATAGAATAAAAGTGAAAAGAAGAACATTCAATAACTCATCAAGCCTTTCACAAATAATTTGATATAATTTTTCAATAAAAAAACAAAACATTTGAGTTATATTCATTAAAAAATATTGAGTTTTACTTTCCCTATAAACTTAAATGATGTTTTGTAATAAAAAGGTATACAATTGATATTTTTCATTCCGTAATTTAACTCAATTCAATAGTATTTTATTAAAACAAAATTAAGAGAATATAAAACTGTATTTGTTTTGTTTAAAACTACGTCATTTGAAAGGTTTCATACCTAAACTTACATACATAACAACCACATATTCACTTATATATATATATATATATATATATATATATATATATATATATATATATATATATATAGAGAGAGAGAGAGAGAGAGAGAGAGAGAGAGAGTCAAGATCAAATAAGAAGGAAATTTTTGATAGGAAAGTAAGAAGTTTTTTTTCTACATATTTTTTTCGCAAATAAACAAAATGAATCATTAGATGATTCATTTGTAAGATGATTCACAATAAAAAAATTTCAAAAAAACATCTCAATGATTTATTTATAAAATGATTTTGTTGTTATTCACTAAAATTGTCATAAAAATGAATTTTTTCTTAATTTACTTAAAAATGAATCATAAAAATGTTTTTTTGGAAATTTTTTCTCGTGAATAATCTTACAAATGAATCATCTAGTGATTCATTTATTTTGTTCGTAAAAAAAATATGTAGAAAAAAAAACTTTTTACCTTTCTATCAAAAAAAATTATTACCGGTATATATATATATATATATATATATATATATATATATATATATATATATATATATATATATATAATATGCTCAAAAAAGCACGTAAATACTTCTTTAAATAGTGTTCAAATTTAACTTTAAATTTATAGAAAACGTAGTGAAATATATAGCATGTAAAAACTCAGCATATCTGCCAAATTCTTACAATAACTACAACAAACAAGTTTTAATATCTATTACATAAGCCTGACACAAATTTGAGATTGAGAGTTTCATCAAGGAGACGTTATTCCGAAACAATACGTAAATATTGAGCTACTTCTTGAAATGCAAAAGAGCAGGAGTCTTATCGAGTCCTTTTGAATAGAAATAATCCATAAAATCCTTTGCTGTCGTACTTCTATACTTGGCTGGCTCATCTTCCGAAAGCAACTCCTTGATAGGTTCCAACACCCTCATTGTCTTCAGGTTTGCCAAAAAAAATGATGCCACCGATATTCGAGGACCAACCTTGTTTGCCATCACTTTGTGGCGTGCACTCACAAACTTGTCGTTTGTTACTAGCTGTAAACAAATTCCATTTTGATTGCTTTGTATTAGTCCACTATACTTTGAGTTTTAAGGTCGTGCAAATAATATCAAAGAAGCTTGTGTATCTATGTGAGAGAGAGAGAGAGAGAGAGAGAGAGAGAGAGAGAGAGAGAGAGAGAGAGAGAGAGAGAGAGAGAGAGAGAGAGAGAGAGAGAGAGAGAGAGAGAGAGAGAGAGATGCCTGTAATAGATCTCCAGCGTTGACTACAAGAGCTCCCTGTATAGGAGTAACATGGGTCCATTGGTTCTGATAAAAGACCTTGAGGCCACCAATAAGATCTTGTTGAAGAATCGTAATGAAACCCGCATCGCTGTGTTCAGTGGTGCCCATTGTTAACTCAGGTTGTGGGCAAGGAGGATAGTAATGGCCGGTAACTTGAATCTCTTCCGCACATCCCATATCGAAAAAGTGATTGGAGGCGAGCCCCAAAGACTCAGACATCAACTCCAATATAGAGCATCCGAGTTTCATTACTTGCCTCGAGTACTCCAACAAAATATCTCTGCGAGGATATCCATCCCAATTAAACAAAATATCCGATAGTTATACTACTCTATCATAGTACGTAGTTACTCAGATATATTTATTCATATTGCATGTGATCAATGACGTGTTACTTGTTATTTATAACACAAATAGAATTAGAACTATGAAAACCTGCAAGGTGGTGGCAACTCTTCTGGTTGAGGAGGATTAGGATACATGGTGCACAAGAAAGAGTCTCGCCAGTTAGTCACCGGAGCAGAATACAAGTCAAAGTTGCTGTTATACACCACCCTATTCGCAGATCGATCCCTTGTGTACCACTGCTTCCTCACCTCACTATCCTGATCAAAAAAACGTAAAACTCCTTGTTTCATCTCCTCCAACACGTCAACCGGAATACCATGATTCACCATCTGAAAGAACCCCCAACTCCCCAACGCATCCTTCACTTCTTCCATCGCCTGCTTTCTCCGAATAGGATCTTCATGGATTCCTTTGAGGTCGATGGTTGGAAGAGTAAGCTCTTCGTCAGAGTTTAGGTTTTCAGGTGAAGGTAGACGGAATATCCGAGGGACCTCCGTAACTCCGGCATCTACAAGTCCTTTCACGCCGGTTTTGGTTTCGTCGAACTCTGTGAGCTCAGCTTTCCTGTCGTAACTCAAAACGCCCATCTTGTCTTTTTGTTATTCGGAAGCTACGTACAATCTTGCAAGAGGTGCAGGTGGGTTATATTAATGTTGATGGTAATTACGAGGGACGTTGCATTGTATATATATATGCCGTTGTGGAAGACACTTTATGCATGAACATATATACCTACTTCCTAAAAGTATATATTTCAGAACTGTTTAAATAAATAGTTTGTCCCAAAATTGTTATAAATGTGCAACATTCTTAAAAAACTAAAATTATTTTCCACAAGCTAATTATTTTTCGATTGAAAATTGTCTTTGAATATAAAATTATGCTATAAAGGCGAAAGTAATTATGGGTTGGAAAAATAAAAGTCCGATTCGGTTATTATTTCAAAATTAAAAGGATTGCTTGAAACGCTCATAGAACAAAACACATGTTGCTAGAAAATTATTATAAAATATACAGATCGATAATATTTTGTCACAAAAATATATTTATCTAAAAAGTACGTATGTTCATCTAATATAAAAAATTACATGAAAACTAGCTTCATTCTTATAAGCCAACCGATGATGGCAATCATCATATCATGTTATCTCAGACAGACTCTTAAGATAATCATTTACACTAAACCTTGACATATATTGTGAAGGCAGTGTAAACAATAAATCATCTCCAACCCATTAAAGTATATATAACATAAACAATTGTTCTTTTAATTATAATTATATCTGTTTTTTATAATTTTACAGAAATAATCCTTGTATTTGTTAAGTTTTTAAATATTTGAAGCATATCTTTTTATTACAATAGCTTAACGATTTATTTTAATTATTTATAACCAACAAATATTAGAATTATATAATTATACATATTATATTTTAAACTAATATATCTAATAACAATCATAACATTACTAGATAAATATTATAATTACGCAAAAAATAAAGTAAAAATGAATAAACTCACATTTGATTGACTAATTATACTAGGAAACATCATCGCAATATTTATTGTTATTGAATATTGTATAACACTCTACTTAGGACATCCATAATGTATTGAATTAGGCAATTTTCAATGGGTTTAATGGGGAGTTTAATCTCATTAAACTCAAAATCCATATTGTAGGAAAATGATTATGATTCAATGGAATGGGGAGTTCAATCCCCATTGAACTCTATATTCTCTCTCCTCACACACACACACACAAACACACACACATATATATATATATATATATATATATATATATATATATATATATATATTATTTTTTATTTTTTATTTTAAATTATTGTTAATTTTAATTGTAGTTTTTAATTTTTAATTTCATGCTAATTATTTTTTTTTAAAATAACAATAAATAAAAGGAAAATGATAAATGATGTGACAATCCATTAAATTGTATAGAGTTCAATGGAGTGTAAAGTTTAATAGATAAAGTTGTATAGTAAATGGAATGTATATGTGTCAATCCATTGAACTCATATGAGTTCAATGCATTGGAGATGATCTTAATAGAGTTTAATGGATTGACACATCATCATTTTACAATCCATACAACTCTACTATTTTTTTTTCTCTACAATGCATTGAACTCTATATAGTTCAATACAATGTTACAAAATGTAATTTATAGTAAATATTTAAGAATTACAACTTTCTCTTTTCCCATTGAAAAATTGAATGATCATTGAACTTCAAATCCATTGAATTTTAAAATGACATCTCATAATGGTTGAGTTTCATCTATTGAATGACACATGAACTTACCACCTCATTTAACTCTATAATTGAACTCATCATTATAGATGCTCTTAATGTTATAGTATTCACCAAATCTATATTTAGTGTTAGGTTTAGTGTTGTAATAGCGCAATTTAGTGTAAAAAATAAGTTTTAGTGTGGAATGAGCATTGTCCTTCATGCGAAACAAAAATACACTGATAAGAAAAGGAGGTTTTATATTTGTTTATTTCGATTTTCCTTTTTTTAACAAGCACATGGAAATAATTATTTCACTTAATTAACTCAAATTTGGTATGACTCTTGTGTAATTGCATTAACTATCTTACACACACTATGGGTTATTCGACATAGTCAGGAAATTCACAAAAATAACCGTCTTATACTTGATTTAAAAGAACGATATAAAACAAAATATTGAAAAATAAATAATACGAATGAAAAACATAATCCAAATAAATATTTACAAATCTATATCGTTCAAAAATTCAAAACACTTAATATAATATAATCCTACTCCCAAGTTGTGATCACGAGGGTTCAAATCGAACGAGTTGATAATGAATAAATAAATCTTGAAGAAATCTTGATCATTGATTGTACAAGATGAACTTGATGATAAAAAATCACCATGAATTACTTCTAAGGTTGTAATGGAATCGTCATAATGATTCTGTGGAAGAGTGTGAAGAAAAAATGAATTTTTTGTAGCTCTAATTTTTAGGGTAGAATACTATAACTTTTCTGCATGAATTGTAGTTTTTATTGGAGAAAAAAAAGGTTGCAATGTGGGACTAGTCCATTTGGTAGAGGTGGAAGCCTCTTAGACAGGTAGTCTAGGGTTCAAACCCAGGTATAGACGGATTGACTAACTTGGTGAATTTAACCACTAACCATTAAGGGAAATTAAGGGATCACTCAATATATGGTCGAGGAAATTAAGGGATCACTCAATGGTGTGCTAACCTTATCTTAAAAAATTAAGGAATTATATACCTCATTTATTGTTTTATGTTTTTCCTGTAATAGCCTACAAATGGCTCTTTTTCTGTGTAATTATTTATTCAATTAAATAAAAATAATTCTTCTGGAGCCTTTGATAGCGTTGTATCATAATAGTGTTCTTAGTTCTAGAGCCAAACATTTTATTATTTACTGATCAATCCCCTCTTCTTCAAAACCAACAAATCCAATCATTGTCTGGAGAAGAAAACTCAACTTCAAATCTCTCATTTTGCATCTCAAAAATCTTATCAAAAATATCTTCCATTCTCAGCCCCAAAACTATTTGATAGTCTTCAAATCAATCTCAAACTCAACAGCCAAAACTACACACTATGGAGTCGAATAATTCGAGTCACCATAGGCGGAAGATCCAAAGCCCTGTTAACACATCTCGTCTCAAATCCTCCAAATAAGAGTGATGAAAAATATGAGCAATGGGAACAAGATGGCTTAATCATTTTTTCATGGCTCATTCAGAATATTGAACCTGTACTTGCTAGGAATTTAACCGAGTTTACGAGTACAAAAACATTGTGGGATGCTCTGGTGGTCACCGATAGCAGTGGGAGAGATAAATTTCAAACCTACAATCTTCATGTCAAGGCTAACAAGATGAAGCAAAAAAAATATGTTCCTTGAAAATATGCGGATTTCACTACAGGAGATTTGGGGAGAAATAGAAAGAATTTATCCAAACCCGATGAAGTGCCTTGATGATATCAAAGTCTACACCAAAATCAGGGCAGAAAAAAAAAATGTTTCAATTTCGTAATGCCTCAAATGGAAAGGATGATAAAACAGGATATTTTCTGGGATTAGACTCGCCTCCCTTAGCAAAGGAAGCATTTGCATCATTTTGGAAGGAAGAATCTTATCAAAATATTATGGGAATGATTCAAATAGAAGTAGAAACAGGGGTGGTGGTTGAGTTATTTGCTACGAAATCAAGTAACCCTACTAGGTCTAGTTTTGTAACAAATGGGGCTCGTCAATCATGACCACCAAAAGAAGAGAAGACTAACCAGAAGTGTGACAATTATGGTATGATGAAACATACGAAGGACCGATGTTTCAAGCTCGTTTGATATCCCAAGTGGTGGAGTGACGAACACAAGAAGAACACAACCAAAGTCGATACCGTGGTGAGCAACAACAATGGTGGTGTTAGATTTGGCGTTATCGCAACAACAATTTTAACATTAGAGTTTGGGTAAGTTCTTCTTTAGTCCCTTATGTTAATTTATTTTCAATGTGGTCCTTTGCTAGTATGTGGGGCATACTTATTAGTACGCTCAGCGTACTAGCCTCTTGTTGATCCCGAATCCCATCCACATATGTTGGGCATACGTGGAGTACAAATGGTGTACGTATGCCTCGGACGAACCGTAATATTTTGGTTTTGTGCCCTATTTAAGCATCTTAAACTCATCCCTTGGCCATTTTAGACCAACCTCCATATCTTCAAAACCCTAATCTCGCCCTTAGCCTTTTTTTTTTTTTTTTTTTTTTTTTTTTTTTTTTTTAATCCTTTTTAGCTCTTGTGAAGAATTTTGGCATGTTCTTGTGTATTTTGAAGTGGTAAAAGGAATTGAATACTCATTCCTTGGAGTGGAGCTTAGAGATCCAGAGTTAGCATCTTCATTTCGAGCCATTTGAGGTATAAAGTCCTTAGCTTGACAACACCTTGTGTAGATCTAGTTTGGGTGCGTTTATGGCTTATTTTTATCGCTTTTCTTTACTGCTTGTGAGTAAAGGTTGTTTCAGAACCTTAGCCCTTAGATATGGACATTTTAAGGGTCCCTTATGCATAAAAATGGAGCCTTATGGTGTATCTTGACCCATACATGTGTTAAGACCTTTTTTAACCTCTTTTTGAGCTCTTGAGCCCTATTATGTAAGACCCAAAATCACTATGTATAAGTCGGATTCGCTATGATGGTACAGAATCCCAATCAAGTGAATGATGCAAGATATAATATGGAATAAGAACATGATGATTAACCTTCAATGCACACTATATTTAAGATAGTCTGGTACATAAGATTCTTGATTACACACGGTTCATTGTTTCTCTCTAGATCTCGTTCTTGACTTGTTGGCCACCACAAAAATGTCCCTCTCTCTCTCTCTCTCTCTCTCTCTCTACAAGGCTTAAATAACGCTATATATACCTAGACATAATAATAAAGGCCCAAACCAAAACCCAAACAAAATAATATTAAGCCTAACTGAAATCACATGTGATTTCGGTCCAAACAACACCGAAACATGGTGTTTTTTG